TTATTTTGTTAATAATGCTATTATTGTCATTATTATTTAATTTATCATGTCATTTTTTGTACTCCACCAAGTGAAACATTATACAACAATAATAACAGATTATTATTAATAAAATATTGAATATTATATAATTAAATTATATAATTATATTATTAATTATGTATAACAACAGCAACAATAACAGATTTTATTATTATTATTATTATTATTATGTAGAATTACATGCAATTATATGTAAAATATAAAAATATATAGAATAGAATATACAATATTAAAAATGTTCCTATTATTAAATATATGTCACAGCAACAATAACAATACTAGATTTGTATTATTATCATGTATTAACAACAATAATTATATATATAGTAATATTATAGTATATATATATATATATATAGTAAATTAGTAAATATAGTAATATTATAATATTATGTTACATAATAATTATTACAACCACTTTATTACATACAGTACATTTCTTCTTAGCAATTATTGTTAATATTAGTATTCATTTTGATAATTTTCATTTTTTGTATTATTATCAAGTGAAACATTATACAACATATACAACATATTATATTGGTTAACAACAACATGTTGTATACAATCCTAATATTATTATTAATAATATTTTTTTATTATTGTTGTTGTTGTTGTTGTTAACCAATAAAATATATGTTGTATACAATCTATTATTATTATTATTATTATTATTGATATTAGTATTAATTTTTTATAATTTTCATTTTTTTTGTCCTATTATCAAGTGAAACATTATACAACAACAATAATAATAACAACATATTATTATTATTATTATTATTATTATTATTATTATCAGATTGTATACAACATATTATTGTACATTATTATGTGCTATGCTATTTCCTGCAATACAATTATTTATATTAATTTGCCGGTCAGGGGTGCGTTTCCCAAAACCAACTCTAGTCACAAGTTCCATAGTTACCAATAGCTTTCAATGGAATTAACAACCGTAGTTAGCTGACCATGCTTTTGGGAAACGCACCCCTGGTCAGTTGGCATTTAAACATTAAAGCAATGACAATGAAAGAGAATGTAATGTAATGTTGGATCTGACACTCACACCAGCTGCAGCTGTTTGAATGCTGAGAGCTCTTTAGGCACCGCAACAAACAGATTCCCATCCAGGTATCTATGGAGACAGAGCTCATCAGACACCCGAATACAGCCAGACAGGAACCCCTGCATTAGCATAAAGCCCGGTCCCGCCCGCGCGCGTGACTCACAGTTCAGTGACATTGCGTGGGACGCCGCGGGGTAAAGCCAACAGGTGCTTGTTGCTGCAGCGCACCACTGTATCCAGACACGTGCACTGCTCCGGACACACCGGCTTAGGCACACAACTCACGTCGTCTTCAACCAGCCCTGAGATACCATTAGACATACAGTCACAGAAACCGTGCCATTTGATCAATAATTAGCCAATATACAATTCAATTACAATTTACAGAGAGCAGATTTACGCCAGTAAAAATTAAAAAAAGATAATTGCAACCTTTTTATTTCACAATTCTGACCGTTTTTTCACAATTCTGAGATCTACAAGATGTAAACACAATTATGATAAGTCCATTTTCACAATTAAATTAAAATAAAATATTTGAAATTGTCATAAAATTAAAAAGAAATCGCAATTGCAAGAAAAAAAGTCAGAATTATGAGATAAAAAAGTCGCAATTACCTTTTTTATTTTCTATTCAGTGGCAGAAACGAACCGCAGACTTTTTAGAAGCAACCTCAGAATTCAGAGAAAAAGTCAGATTGTGAGAAACCTCAAAATTGCAAGAAATAAGTTTGAATTCTGTGTTTATATCCAACAATTCTGACTTTTTTTTTCGGGATTGCAAGATAAAAGTCTGAAGTGTGAGATAAAAAGTCGCAATTAACTTTTCTTTTTAATTCTGTGGCAGAAACAAAAACAGCACTGCACAATGTAAACAGAATTAAAAGAACAAGTCATAATTGCGACATACAAACAAATTTTAAAAAAAAGTCACAATTACCTTTTTTATTTTATCATCCCATGACGGACACAGGATTCCATAGGTGAGATTATTTATATACTTATATCAATTATTTAATATAAGTCTTGGAAAAATATCAATAAAAATGTGCTGAAAACTACAAACTAATCCATAATGTTTTGCATCGTAAACCATGGTTTTCAGTAAAACTGTTTTATTTATGCAGTTACATTATAGAGTAGCTGTAAATTAAATCAAATAAATCTAATAAATCTAAATATTACTTGTAAATATAATAAAACATAAAGAACATTATTATTAGTGAATAATAAAATTAGATAACTTGTTTGTTCTAGAACCAGAGAAAATGTTGCAAATCAGAAAATCCTTACTGTTGAGCTCTGCATATATATATATATATATATATATATATATTACTCAAGTATTCATAGAGAAATTAATGTACCATTTATTTTATTTCATTTCATTTTATTAAGTTCATTATTAGTATTAAACACATGAAATCAAACTTGAGTAGCTAGAGGCATCTGCGTTCACATATGTGAGTAAAGTATGTTTAGGCTTTCTAAATGATGAAGATGTAGGACAGTGAAACGATAAGCTTAAACCTAAAAACCTGAAAGCCTCATTTACCCTTGTCACAGAGGAAGTCTGGCTTTGCCACGTCCTGCAGTGGGATCTCTCTGAGGAAGGCTGGGTTCTGACAGCGAGGGTTTCCCGTCACGATCTGCCGAGATCGCAGCCACTCGCCCAGCCAGGACAGACGACAATCGCAGTTAAAAGGGTTTGCCAGCAGGTTTCTGAAAAAAGACCGTGGAGATTAAACAGAGTTAACATTAACAGAAGCATATATTCAGATCGGACACATTCATAAAAGGCAGCGAGAACTAGAGGTGCTTACAGAGTGGAGAGGTTTGGCAGCGTGTGGAAGGCTCCAGGCATGATGGTGGTAAGCTGGTTGTCGTAGAGCGAGAGCAGACGTACGTTCTGCAGGCCCGAGAAGCTGCTGTTGTGGATGCAGCGGATGCGATTATTCCTCAGCATCCTAACAAAGACAGAAACAAGGTTTCAGGGCTTCAGGGTGACTGTGAGGAACAATGAAAATGGCTGAGCTTGCTTTGATTGCTCTTGAGTAATGATGCATTTGCACAATCTTGCGCTGATACACTTTAAAGATATTGATATATTTAAATAAATGGGCGATTAATTGTGATTAATTTTTTGTGTATATATAAATACACACACATATATAAATATTTGTATGTTTATATATTTATACTTGTGTATAATTTATATTATATATAAATATAAATATTTTATACATAAACCTAACATATTTTTCCTTAATATATACATGTATGTGTGTGTATTTGTATATACATAATAAATATACACAGTACACACACATATAGTATGTAAACATAAACTTTTATTTTGAATGCGATTAATCACCATTAATTGTTTTGCAGCCCTACTGATGTATCAATCAGTTCACCAACTAATCAATCAGTCAACCAACCAATCTGTTATTCAACCAACCAAATAACCACCCATCCTATCAGCCAATCACTCATACTACCAGTCAATCAGTCATCCAACCAGCCAATCAATCAGTCAACCAACTAATACGTTTATCAACCAAACCAATCAGTCATCCTATCAATCACTCATACTACCAATCAATCAGTCATCCAACCAACTAATCAATCGGTCAACCAACCAATCTATTAAACAACCAATGAGTCATCCAACCAACCTATCAGTCAGTCAGTTTTTACTTAGCACAGTGGCTAGATTAACAAATAATCAGACTTCACCCGAACTAAATATTCCCTCACAGTTTAATAATAATGACTTTATGAATTTCTTCACTGATAAAATAGATAGCATCAGAAATACAATAACAAATGTAGAGTCTACAGCGTCTTGTAATTCGGTTTTATTCATCGCACCCAAAGAAAAACTGCAGTGCTTTACAACTACAGGACAAGAAGAGCTAAATAAACTTATCACTGCATCTAAACCAACAACATGCCTGTTAGATCCTGTACCCACTAAATTACTGAAAGAGTTGTTACCTGTAGCAGAAGAACCGCTTCTCAATATTATTAACTCGTCGTTGTCTTTAGGTCACATCCCAAAACCATTCAAGCTGGCGGTTATTAAGCCTCTTATTAAGAAACCACAACTAGATCCTAGTGAACTGGCAAATTACAGACCCATCTCAAATCTTCCGTTTATGTCAAACATTTTAGCTTCTTGCGTCAGACCAAGGCTGCATCTCATTGCAAGCTTTACTTGATCTTAGTGCTGCTTTCAACACTATAGATCATGACATACTTATAGATCGAATGCAAAACTACACATGTATTCAAGAGCAGGCTTTAAGATTGTTTAGATCCTACCTGTCCGATCGATACCACTTGGTCTATTTAAACGGGGAATCATCTCAATGATCACCAGTAAAGGATGGAGCGTCGCAAGGATCTGTCCTAGGCCCACTGCTATTTTCAATATACATGTTGCCCCTTAGGTAATATTATTAGAAAATACAGGATTAGTTTCCATTGTTAAACTGATAATACTCAACTATATATTTCAACTAGACCAGATGAAACTTCTAAATTATCTAAGGTAACAGAGTGTGTTAAAATGAAAAAAAAAATTTGGATGACCAACCCTTACAAAGATCTGAGATGACCGAACACCTGAGAAGAGATGATGCCAACCCCCCAGAGGACCTCAGATGATGCCAACCCCGAAACAACATACAAAACTACTAAATTTTGCTATAAGTTTAATCACAACATATAACTATTGCAGTAAATAGTGTTCACTGTCTGTTTGATTACATGTCATTAACTAACTGCATGGATTTTACTGTACATTTCTGCCATATGGACATCAACTTAACAGTCACCATTGATAAGCTACTACTAAATATAATGTAGAAACTTTAAAATAGAAACTTAAATTTTCTGTAAAGCTGCTTTGCAACGATTTGAATCATGAAAAGCGCAATACAAATAAACTTGAATTAGAATTAATCAATCAGTCAACCAACCAACCAATCCATTAACCAACCAGTCACTCATCCAATCAATCAATCAATCAGTCAACCAACCAATCAATCAGTCATCCTATCAGTCACTCATAATAGCAATCAGTTAACCAACTATCAACCAACCACTCTATTAAACAACCAACCAACCAGCCAATCAGTCATCCTATCAGTCACTTATACTAGCAATCAGTTGACCAACTATCAACCAACCACTCTATTAAACAACCAACCAACCAGCCAATCAGTCATCCTATCAGTCACTTATACTAGCAATCAGTTAACCAACTTATCAATCAGTCAACCAACCAATCTATCAAACAACCAATCGGTCAGTCATCCAACCAACTAATCAGTCAACCAACCATTCTGTTAATCAACCAACCAACCAACCAATCAGTCATCCTATCAGTCAATCACTCATACTACCAATCAATCAGTTAACCAACCAATCTATTAATCAACCAACAAACCAATAAATCAGTAATCCTATCAGTCAATCAGTCATACTACTATTACACTACCATTCCATCCTTAAAAAAAAGCTTGAAGCTGTTTTAATTATGTAAACCACAACTAGTTATACTACAAGCATGCTTCTCAGAAATGTTGTGGCAGAAATGATAGTGAAAAGGACACTTGCAGCATGCGTAATCCGTCCATTCCCCGGAACATTCCTCCACGTACAGACACCAGGTGGTTGGCAGTGAGGTGAAGTTCAACCACAGACGATGCGCCATCAAAAGCTCCATCCTCAATCTCAGTGATTTTATTGTTGCTAAGGTTTCTGTGAGAGAAACGCACCAAAACTGATTTATTGTCCAGTTCAGTTCAACAGTAAGTAATACAGTGTATTTTGACATTGTTTCATTATATTATGTAGAACATAAATGTCAATCTCACATTTTCTTGAGATGTGTGAGGGACCGAAAGAGTCCTGTTGCCTCCAGGATGGACAAGTCATTGTTATTGAGCCGTCTAAAATAAAGACAATGAAATAAACATAGAGTTAGCATGTTGCTAAGCTAACAATGTGCTACTATAATACTATAAGCAGCACAAAAACTATTTTTATCAACAAAAAAAAAAAAAATCTAAACAAAGAATTGTCAACATTTTGGTTGCTTCATCCGCCATCCTTGGATGGAGTTTGTCGCAAAGCATTCTGGGATTGACTTTTCACAAATAGCCGAAAGAAGTTATCACAAAGAAGGCAGCACAATTATGCAGTCTACTTTAAGAAACATTCTTCATATTGAGTGCACAGACATGATGCCTTAAAATACTCCCTACACAGGCAGCTCACTATATTTTGGAACAGAGCCATATTGTAATTGTTCTGTTTTAATTATGTATTCTCTTACAGTTCAGTTGTAGAAAGCGGAAGGTGCTCTGGAAACTTGGTCATCCGTAAATTTGAACAATCCACCACAGTAGCTTCACAGCGGCATTTGGGTGGACATACAGGCTTGCTGTTACAGTCCTTATTCAAACGTGTGTCCTCTGCGCCTGAGACAAATATAAAGATGCTTTCAGAGAACCACTGTTATTCAAAGGAAAGTAGGCCATTATTCAGTTTGCATCACATATATTATTTTTAGTCATATACAAAACCAGGTTCAATGAGATATTTAACAGACACAAACAACTTACCTGGGATGTGATACTGTTCCTTGGCTGCTATGGCAACACATGCAAGAAAACAGAAAATACAGCTGCTATGGAGTGTAGATATACATGAACCCAGCAAATATCTAAATTTGAGACTTAAAACTAGACAAATAAAGACTGAAACCAAAGATTTTTCTTGAATATACTGGCATTTATACAACTGTTTCCTTGAATCCCATTGGTTGAGTGATGTTTAGTCACTCTTTATGCAGGTTACACATTTATGCCAGTAGGTGGCAGCATGTACCTGACTATAAGTGAGTAAATGTCATTCATTCAACTGATTTAGACAAAAACATTCAATCAGAAACAAAACAAGTCACTGTTTTATGGGTGAATCATGAAATTATTCACTCAACCAATTTGTTCAATAAAACTGATTCACTCAGGAACGAAATGAGTAATTGTCTATATGAGTGAGCCACTAAATAATTATTTCAAATGATTTGTTCAACAACACTGATAAATTCGTGAAAGAAACAAGTAACTGCCTATATAAGTGAGTAATTTAATTATTAATTCAACCAATTAGTCCAGAAAAACTGATTCATTCAGGAGCTAAACAAGTGGCTGACTTTATGAGCAAATCATTAAACCATTCAGTCACTGATTTGTTCAGTAATACTGGGGCTGGTTGCATAAACTTTTTAGACTAGTCTTAAAAAGTTAGCCATCTAATTTTCTAATTTAAAGACTGGTCATAACCTTTTAAATTCATTTATGAAAAGGTAGATTGGTCTCATTTGTATTGGAAAATTAAGACTGATTACCCCTTGGCAACTGCTAGTTGGTCAAACTAGTTCTTAACACACAGTCTTAGCATGGTGGCTAAGTTTATGCAACTGGCCCCTGATTAACTCTATGTGAATGAGTGACTGCCTATATGAGTGAGTCACTGAAGCCTTCTTTCAACTGATTTGTTCATAAACACTGATTAATTTATGGAACGAAACAAGTGACTCTTTATAAGCGAGTCATTAAATCATTCACTTAACCAATTAGTTCAGCAGCACTGTTTTATTCAGGAACTACACAAATGGCATTTTAATGTTTTGTTAAAAAAATCTATTCATTCAGAAATTAAATCATTAAGTGAAGTGAATCATTAAATCATTCACACAAACGATTTGTTCAACAACACTGATTCATTCAGGAATGAAACAAATGACTGCCAATATGATTAAGTCACTGAATCGTTCATTCAGCCAATTTGTACCAACACTGATTCATTCAGAAACTAAACAAGTAACTGTCTGGAAGAGCGAATCAATAATTTATCCAAATGATTTGTTCAACATCACAGATTCATTCAGGAATGAAACCAGTGACTATCTTTATGAGTAAATCGTTAAATCATTCACTCAACTGATTTAGTCGAATACACTGATTCATTCAGGAATTAAACCAGTGACTATCTATGTAAGCGAGTCACTGAATCATTCATTTAACTGACTTGTTCAAAAACAGTTGATTTATTCAGGAATGAAACAAGTGACTGCCTTTATGAGAAAATCATTAAATTATTCACTCAACTGATTTGATTCATTTACAAACGCCTACTAATGTGTTGCTTGGAGAACTGTCTGCGCACTTACCTGGAATTTCAAACAAACTTCCCAATTAAAAGTTATGTGCGTACTTTTAAATGAATAAATAAATAAATGTATGCAATTATTTATAAATTCTTTGTAAATAACTGCACAGTGTGTTCGTTTATTCTACCTGAACAGCGGAACTTCTTGCTCTTGATCTGACTGATGCGTTTGTTGGCGAGTCGTCGAGGACTGGAGCATCGTGTGCCGCTGGTCTCAATCGGGTTGGAGCGCAAAAAGTCCGCCAGCCACTTCAAACCACAATCACAGACGAAGGGGTTCTGAGCTAAGTGACTGAAAGAAAGTCAACATTGAAACATCTTGATTACAGTAAGTGCCCATATCAATTGTTCGTTATATAACGTCTCTTACAGAGTCTGGATGGATTTCAGCGGAGTAAATGTGCCTTTGGCTAGAGTCTGGATCTTATTGTCATACAGGGACAATAGAGATAGGTTCTCAAGGTCATGGAAGACGTTGACGCGAACACAGTGGATTTTATTGGCATTCAATAGTCTGAAAGAGAGAAAGACAGACAGCTCAGACATTACTATGACTGTCTGGATGATGCCGTTTCAGTGTGCTACTTTATTCACAGACCATTAAGCAATGCCATTGTGACATTTTTCATATGTGGGTGGTAATTTTACATTGACATAGGCTTTTCTGTACTTACAGTAACTCTAATGCACTCAATCCGTCAAAAACACCTCGAGGCAGATCTGTAATCTTATTTCCATAAAGAACCCTGTAAAACAAAACACAATTATGAGATACAATGGTGCTGATAAAGAGTTTCAGCATGTGGATTTCATAAAAATTGACCATTCAGACACAAGGTTACACATACATTTAAATACAAATGGGTTTAACTAGATTATTTTTACATTTTATGAATCTTTATTAATTTTAGGATTTTACATTTTATTAGCTGAAGTCATAAGAGCACATCCCCAAGTCTCTGATCTTTAGATATAACTTCCTTCTTCATTACTAGCAGTAAGATCAATTTATAAGCAATGCCTTCTCTTTTTAATGAATCAGTTTAACCGTTTCACAAAAACAGTATGATTTAAGCATTTCACAAATCAGCGACTAATAGAACCAAAACATTTTGGACATGTCCGACTTGTAATGAATCCGTTTAACAACTCACAGATTCCTTGAACCAAAAATTGATTTGGGAATGAATCGTTCAGACTGAGTTTGTGAACTGGTTCAACTGTTTGACTGAAAAGATATGACTCAATAGAATAATTCATTCATGAATCAGTCATTACTAAATGAATACTAATGACTTCTTTGTTGAATTCTACATAAATTCCTCCTTCAATGTAATTAGCATCTCATGAATTAATTTTTTAGTGAATCAGTTCACAAAACCAGTCTGAATGTTTCATTCGCTAATGAGATTGAATCTGTCCATGTGGTTCTCAAGTCAACACGTCAGTGACTCACAGAACCAAATCTTTTGCACATGTCCGACTTGTAATGAGTTGGTTAAACAACTCACCAATTCTTTAAACCAAAAAAAAAAAAAACATTTGTGAATGAATGGTTCAAACTGAGTTTGTGAACTGGTTCAATTGATTGACTGATTGAAATGAATGATTCATTAATATAATAAACAAACTAATAAATAAAATTGTTAATCACCTGTTCACTGAATTCTAGATATGCCTGGTTTTATTCAACATAAGTAATGTTTGTTTGATTAATTAATGAATCATCCTAAAGAATTGGATCTTTTTTAATGAATCAACTAAGCCAGTTTATAAAACCAGTCTGAGGAACTAATATACAAATTAGACTGAACAGTTACATCTTTTTCTGTACATGTCAGATTTGTAATGAGTCGAATTAACAACTCAACAATTCACTGAACCAAGAATCAGTCTGTAAATGAATCGTTTAGGCCGAGTCTGTGAACAGTCGGTACTGATTCATTGAAAAGATTAGACTCAATAGGTGATTCATTCATGAATCAGATATCTATACTTTCTGAAATAGATAAATTAATGTATCAAAGTCTGATTCTTGAATGAATCACTACTGTATAAAATATTTATAGCGACTGAACTGCTGAATCATTAATTTAACTGTTCAAAAGAGCCAGTTAGCAGTAATGAATCAGACCGACTAAATGTAAGTCTATGAGATTTTATCACCCGTTTTATCAAAAAAAAAAGACTATCTGGCATGAAGCAGTGTTCCCGCTGAGCTGAATCGCACGCATCCTCACGCAGTCAAATCATTTAAGACATGTATGCTAGAGACGACTAGCGCTGCAGGCTAGACACACACTCATATATTTACACAAACCGCACACGCTCACATCAGAGCCCTGCTGAGATTCTCCCAGAACAGATGTTTACCAAGAACTCTTCATGCTGCATGATGCATAATTCAACAGAGCTAATAAGCGCACACATATGAACATGTTGGAAATATACACGCAATCATATGCAGATTAAATGGTTATATACATGACCACATGAAGGCGTGTTGTTTACAGATTTGAATAAATGGATATGTAATTATCAAAACAATAACGTAATTCATTTAACAAGTAATAATAACAATTATTCTTTGTGATTATGTGTTTAATTTTGTATTCATGTGCAAAGTAATTGTTTATTATTAATACATGAATTTATTTGTTCATGTTGCTGTTGCAGGCTCTCGGCTCCTAAAAAAAAAAAATAATTGAACATATAATTTCCTGTTGTGGAGAAATAAGTGTTTGCTCCAAAACGCTGTTGGAAATCATTTCTTGTAGGTCGGTGTTGTATGAAGGAGCATTAGCAGTAATGTCTACATCAACATTTCTGTTGCAGAATAATTTTTTTTCGTATGATGTCTGTGGGCTTTATGAGACCCTCTGCAGCATTTTTATGAGTTTATGACTTGGTCATTGCATATAGCTCAGTTTTCTGATTTGCTCTATCAAAAACACACAGATTGTTTTGAGTTTTTCAGGTCATTTTCTTGCTAGGTCCATTTCTAGCTGCGCTTCAGCTTTCTGACATACAGCCTGTTTGAAATTGCATGTGGCTCTACAGGGTTTCAAAACCTTTTGAAGGCCTGAGAGATTTTTGTTTGTATGTTTTGTTTTTTTAGCATGCTATAGTGAAACACCTGAATTGACAAAACTACGTATCGTATCATATCATATCATATCATATCATATCATATCATATCATATCAAGGTAAGATATTTGTTTGTTTTTGAAAGAAGTCTCTTCTGCTCACCAAGACTGCATTTGTATAATTTAAAATACAGTAAAAACTGTAATATTGTGAAATATTATTACAATTAAAAATAACTAGGCTCTATTTGAATATTTTGTAAAACATAATTTATTTCTGTGATCAAAGCTGTATTTTCAGAATCATTACTCCAGTCTTAAGTGTCACATGATCTTCAGAAATCAGTCTAATATGCTGATTTGCTGCTCTAGAAACATTTATTATTATTATCAATATATTTGTGCTGCTTCATTTATTATTATTATTAATATATTTGTGCTGCTTCATATTTTTTAAGAAATCACCATATATCTTTGAATAGAAAAAGTTATAATGATATATATTAAAAAATATTATAAAAATATTATATATATATATATATAT